GCTCCAGAGCGCGCGCTCCGTGCGCGGCAGCCCAGCAGGCACGCCTGCTCCGACCACGCCGAGTGCCCGGGCAGCTGCTGCGTCACCACCAGCCTGAACCCGCAGGCCTCCTGCACGCCCAGGACCATCTCCCTACAGTGTGTGCCTTGGCGCAAGGCGAGAGGGCGAGGCGCGGCCGGGTCGGGGTGCGGCTGCCAGGCTCCCGCTCTGCGTCCCCAGCCCAACGGGGCCGCTGCAGCCGCCACAGGGACTGCGGGAACCAGTGCGGCATCACGCTCAACGAGGCCGGCCGCTCCCGCTGCACCCGCCAGAGCGGGCTCTGGCCCAGTGCCTGCCCTTGGTGAGCCCCTCGCCCCTGGGAGGGAGGTGCCTCCCGCACGGAAGGGTCCTGGATGTGCCTGAGGTCCGACAGCCGCTGAATGTGGCTGTCTCCACACCCAGTGGGCGTCCCGTTCCGGGAGAGGCTCACACCTGCTGTCTGGAGACTGGCCTCCAGGTCCGTTTCCGTGAGCAGGAAAGCGCGGCGAGGCCTCAGAAAAGGAAAGAGGTCACGGGCAGGATGGGGCCTGCGGTCAGGGTCCCTGTAGGAAGCAGGTGCCACGTGCCTGGTGAAGGGCCATCAGATGTGTGGCTGGGTGGTGAATCCCAAGCACTAGGCGGCATCAGGATTCGCAGCAGTGGGGCTGAGGGAGGGGAGGGGGCCAGACAGGCCCAAGGGAGGACCTCTCCGGAGCTGCTCTCTCCATCCACCCTCTCCTGGACCCTTGTGATAGCTGAACAGTAACTGCAAAACCAGAAGGACAGAGGTCAAGTGACACAGCCCCAGAGATCAGCCTCCTAGGGCACAAGACATGCTCAGTGCCCTGGAGACAGCGGGGGGCACATGGGGACATGGGCGGATGGAGACCAGGATGGGGATCAGAGACAGGGTGGTGTGGGTGGAGACATGGGGACAAAGATGGGGGGATGGAGATGGGAGCAGAGATGAGGGACAGAGATGGGGCAGAGATGGGGGATGGATGGGGGACAGAGATGGACAGAGTTGGGGACAGAGATGGGGCAGAGATGGGACAGAGATGGGGGGACAGAGATGGGGGATGGAGATGGGGGTGGGTATTGGAGACAAGGGAGTGGATGGTTGGAGATGGGGGGCCACAGCAACTGGAGAAGGGTTTCGGGGTTGTGGAGAGAACACGTGGGTGCCATGTGTGTGGGTGTTTAGGTACTAGCTTGAGGCTGGGATCGGTAACTTCTGTCTGATCATGAAGGGGTCTCTGCTCCCACAGGTAAGGACCACGTTTTTGAGCACAGAACCACATCTTGCTGACTGCACTATCATCACCTCCTAGAGTAGCACCGGGCACAGCGGGGGCTCACAGAAACGTGTTCACTGCTGGATTCCCACTGCTGCCCTTGCCCCCGAGGAGCTGGTTATCCATTGGTGAGGGTGGGAGAGCTGCAAGGCACCTGTCTCTCCCTGTGCGTTTTCTCACTTTTTCTCACTTTGTCCTTCAGTGACAGGGAAGAAAAGCTGCAAGGAAGAGCCAGCACGGACTTCGCAGAAGCTCACCTGGATCTCGTGCCTGAGTTTGGCTGGGAGCTTGGCTCGTGGGTCCACACTGCTCTTCTGGGCTGTGAAAACCTGTGGGCATTAGACACATCTGGCCCTTCTCCTATCAGTGAACTCCTGAGGCTGATTGTGAGCGTCTGAGAACAAACCGCAGCTACTGGAATCTTCACATCAATAAACACCTGCTGATTGACCCAACGTGTTTTGTCACGTCCATTTTTTTTTTTTTCCAGACAACAAAGGTAAAAGCAATCTGGGCAAGTTGAGTAGTGGAGCCTGCTCAGGTCAAGTACAAGGTTGCCTTCCTGAGGATGCGCGTCTAATCAGAGATCAAGTCTTACCTGGAAGGGAAAGGGCCAGAGCCGGAGCATTTAAGATGCGCGGTGGCAAGCCCCTCCCTATGCACAAATGCTTCTTGTCCTTGCAAGTAGAAATAATCAGTCGATTGTTCCAAACTGAAAAGGGTCCCCTAAGCCTTGCTGACGGACACGAAACACAAGGTATAAGAGCGGAACAGAGCTGAGGACGCACTGGAGGGGCACCTGCTTACCCAGGTCATTCCTCCTCCCCACTCTGGCCCCAGTTCCTGCAGCATCTCTTGGAGCAGATGCCCCGGCTGACTCAGAGCCTGTCCCCACCAGTGGCGTCTTGCTGTTCCCAGAGCGCAGCTCCTTAGTCACCTGGATAACTGTCTTCTGAGGTTTCCATTACCCACACCTGCTGACACCAGGCTTCTTTTCTGGGCTCCGTTAAAAATAATTCCCCTCGATCCTCTCCTCCTCCTCCTCCCCCTCCTCCACTCCCTCTCTCCTCTTTCTCCTCCTCCCTCCTCTTTCCTCCTCCTTAGCCTGAGCTAAGATGATCCTTGCAGAGAAAGTTAGGAAAAGCCATTGCTTCTATCCTAGTAAGAAGAACAGCTCAGGTGAACCACAAAGCATAGTTAAAAAACAAAAAAGAAACAGATCTAAATGTAAAATATAAGATGTAAAGCATTTAGAAGAAAAATAGGGGTGCGTGGGTGGTGCAGTCCATTGAATGTCCGACTCTTGGTTTTGGCTCAGGTCATGATCTCATTCATGGTTGTGGGATTGAGCTGCGCTCAGCAGGGAATCTGCCAGAGATTCTCTCTCTCCATCTGCCTCCCCCCCATAAATAAATCAATCTTTAAAAAAAAAAAGGATATTTTCTTGACCTTGGATTCAACAGAGTTCCTAGATGTGACCGCATGTCACTCATAAGAGAAAAAGTAGATAAACCACTAAAATAAGAACTTTTGTTCTATGACAGATACTGTTTTTATTTAACGATTTTATTTTTTATTTTTACGTAATCTCTACATCCAAGGTGGGGATTACTCACGACGCCAAGGTCAAGCATCACATGCTCTACCCACTGAGCCAGCCAGGCACCCCTAGGGTAGACGCTGTTAAGAGAATGAAAATGTTAAACAAAGGACTTGTATCCAGAATATATAAAAAAACTCTTGGAACTTAATGGTTACTGAACAACCCAGGCAGAAAGTAGATGAAAGGCTTGCATAGACAGTTCACCAAGTGGATCCAGAGATGGCAGAGAATCGCGTGACAAAGTGTTGGCTGTCTCCAGCTGTCAGGGCGGATGGTGGAATGGCTGGAACAGTCCTGCCCCCAACGCTTACGCCAGATTCACTGGGACACCCACATCCCTGATCCAGGTCATTTCCATGCCTGTGTTTCTGGCAGCTAAACATAGTTCCTGAATTGTATCATCCGAAAGACAAGTTCCCTTTTAAGATTTGGAAGAGATTTCTCTGTCTTTTATTATTATTTTTTAAATACAAGGAAATACCATTTATTTTTTTTAACTATTTTATTTATTTAAGAGAGAGCGTGAGCAGAGAGAGGGAGAAGCAGACTCCCCACTGAGCAGGGAGCCCCACACGGGGCTCGGTCCCGGGGATCATGACCTGAGCCAAAGGCAGAAGCTTAACGGACTGAACCACCCAGGCGCCCCAAGATTTCTGCTGTGGCTAAGAATGAGCAGGCAGCTCAGGCCCAAGGGGAAGGCCTGGACCTGAAACAGGGGCCCTTAGGTAGAGCCCGGGCCCCTGAGCAGGTTCCTGGGGAAGCAGGTCTGACAACGACATCCCTCCAGGGACCACAGGCAAGGTCGCCAGGCAGCCAACTTGGTTCCGGTTGCTGTTGGAGGCCCATAGACCGTGAGCCAGGTGCGTGTGCGCAGGCGCCGCAGGCCCGGGATGCTCGGACCTAAATGGGCAGCGGGTGCCGAACCCGGGCCTGGGAGCTGGTGCTCAGAGACGCTTGGCATCGGTGGATCCAAGTCGTATCCCGCATGACGGCGCCTATGGGCCCCGAAGCCCGAGCTGGACAATCTGGACTGCTGCTCAGCGAGGGTCGAGAGGGACTGTCGGGCTGCCCTCCAGAGGGACACCTGGGAGCCTCCTCGGCTGGAGAGGCCCGGGAGCCCATCGGGCAGGCAGTCCACCTGGGGGGTTCAATGTACCACCTCAGAGACCGTCCCGGGTGGGGTCCCTCCACTCTGAGGCCGGTCAGGTGCTCTGAGGGGGACCCGGAGCTCCACGGAACTGGGGTGCCTGCCCCCTGGAGCTCAAGGTGGGCTGGCAAGGGGCAGAGGGCACAGTGCAGGCCGCGCAGGGGGAGCAGCGGCGGGACCAGGAAAAGCACAGCTGTGGGAAGAGGCCGGATCACAGGAGGGAGGAGGCCATTTGGGGTCACTGGAATCGGCCTCGTTCAAAGCCTCTGACACAGAGGCACATATGCCCCCTGAAGGCCCATCTAGAGGCAAGTGCACTACCTTTCCAGCGATGGGTGGAGGCTGGAGCGCCGATGAATCCTCCCGCAAAAGACCCCGGGGAGCCTTGAAGGCTGGGGAAGCCGGGGACCCATGGGGCCGACAGGCCGG